AAACATAAACCATTTTGGTTTATTTTCTGAAAATTCTATCCCAGAGCTACATAGATTTATTTCAGGATATTTTCATGAGATTTGTGTCCTTTACAAGGAGAAGTAAATTTTCACGCCAAAAAGGAATCCAGCAGTATTCTGTCTTACTTTTATGAGGGAGCCTTGTAATGGGCTTAAAAAAAATATCAGTAGTCTTAATTCAACCCACACAAGCTATCATTGCTATCCTGTGCTGCTGCCTACGCTTATGTCAGGTGGAAAATCCTGCACAGAAGGCCAGCTGTGTGCTACAGCTGGAACAAGAAAAAACCAATGCAAGGTGTAACAGCATGAAAACACACTAGATAATGCATGAGTTGCAAGAGCAGACATTTTTCCCCAGAGACCCTGCTTTCTTTTGATCCTAACCTTCACAAACTTTAAATCTTTAGGGATGAAATAGGCAGTGTCCCAAGCTGGGTTGCTCTTGCTCTTTTAAAAAAAAATCTTAGCCGAACAAAATCTATTGTCCAGCAATTTTCCAGGGTTGGGTAAGAGCAGAAATGAAAGCAGGTGAGGAGAGGTAACAGTCAAAACTCATGCCTGAGAAATAAGTGTAGAGTATAATATGGCAAAGCACGAGGTTTTGGCGGAAAATTATGACAATGAAGAGAAGCAGCAAAGTATGAGGAGCTAGGGGAAAATACGAATATTAGCACAGATTTTGGAGGCAAGTCCCGGAATGTGTTAGTCATGTAAGAAGAAATCAGATAAAGAGAACTACAAACATACGAGATGTGGTTATATACAGACCATTTCCTTCCCAAATCTGCAGTTCAGCGTTGTAGCTCTGGGTATGACTGTGGCTTCAGCTGCCTACAAATGGCTTGTGAAGTCACTTTCGAATTGTGCATCTCAGCGTCTACAGGAGGCTTCATGAGTTCACGTGGTAGAATTTTGTGCTAGGGGCTCTAAAGAGACAAAATTTGTTGATGGGATAAGTTGGGCAATTAATTTTGTTCCATGGGATAGGGGCTTTGTCTGTGTGCGTGTCTGTTTGTATGGTGCAATCTTTAATGAGTCACATACTGCTTCCCTTATTCCCCCTTAGTTTTTGGACAGACTTCAGATGATTCAACATGGTATAGGAAAGACTAGTATAGGGTACTTTCCTCTTCATAGAAGTTAAAAGGTATGTATGTGAAATAGGCAGGAGACTCATCGAAGAGAGGGAATGGTCTCATGGTTAGGAAAATGGGTAACCATGAGAATGGGACTCTATCCCTGCCTTTACCAATAAATTCCTATTGAAGATGGCCAAATTGCTTTGACCAAAATTTTCCATTGGCCACTAAGTACTCATTTTTGGATTTTCTACCTTGGGCCAGATTGGCAGACTGCTCTCCCAGCTGCAGTTTAAAGTCATTGGTAGTGTGCTTTGGACATACAAAATGCTGTACAAATACTAAGTAGTTAAGGAAAATCAGTATTCTTATTTCTTAGCTTGTGAACCCAAAATCCGTGGAAATTTTTTCCATTTTTGCCCATTACCTCCATGCCTACCTTTATCATTGAATCATAGGAGTGAAAAAGCCATTTCCCCTGCAATCAATTGCCATTCTGAAGTCAACTGACATTTGTGAATCACTTAGATAACTTTGGTGAAAGCTCCAACATACTTCAGAGGAATTTATTAGTTTTCCTTTTTAGTATAGTGTTGAAGTGTCATAGTGAATACTGAATTACTCTTTTCTTATAGGAAGCATGAGTTGTGCAGAAAAAAAATGTGATTAGGAAATTAAAAACATACTCAAGTGTATTCTCATGATGGAGACAAATGAATTGCCCACAGAAACTTAAAATTTAGGAAATGTAGAAATTAAGTGATTGATTTTGACATAGGGGGAGGGTGTTAATTTTGGCTTGGGGGAGAAAGGGTGAAGGCTCTTATTGGACAAAATATGTTTAAAGAGTGAATTTCCTGTGGACTAGGATGATAAAAACATACTTGACAGGCAGATTCTGTGTATGTGGGGTTCGTGACCAAGAATATCATACCTAAATTTGTTCCCATTAAAATCAATAAAACATCTCGGATTGCTTGCAGAAATGTTTGCGGTGTGTATTGCAACGAGTATTCAGTATCCACAGTTCAGAACTGCTCTGGGCCAATGGGATTTCTAAATACCTGCCAGCTTTGGCTGACAGCCTAACGTTTCCACAGCAATTTTTCTCTTTAATGAGTAAAATAGGTGGTGTTTATAGAAAAATAACTGTCTCCTAAGAAGCTGTGCAAAACGTTCCATTCAAAACCATTCTGTTTATATATAGTTGTGTTGTTTGTTTTCTTTTCTTTTTACTTACTACTGTGGACATTTGCATGAAAACAGGATATTTCTCCTTCAAATTGCAGTCATGGACAGAATAGCTACTATGCCAAAATGGATCCAACCCACTTCAAAAAAGTAAACTATTTTGCTCACCAAATCTGTTTCTTCTGTGTATGTGAAGGTTCGAGCACTTATTTTCCTACCTAAATTTAGGAGCTGGTTTTTTGAGTTAGTTCTGCAAAATCAACAAAACAATATGAAAATAATAAAATGAGAATATGTTAGTGAAAACATTAAACAAGAAAAACAATAACATAAATAACATTCATGTTCTAATATTTACAGTGACAGACAGCAGCGAGAGAAATATTTTTATGTGTACTGACTTTTTTTTATACAGCTTTGAAACAGTGATGAATACTCAAGTGAGAGAAACAGAAGAGCTGAGTCCTGTTTTGGCTGATGGTGATCAATAGAATTAATAAAAGCAGGCTTCTCTTCAGAATGTCTGTAGTCTTTCTGATGCACAAATTTTTCAGTCTCTGGCTGAATGTAATATTCTACCAGTTTGGTACACTTTTACTGACAAGAGGCATATCTTTTATAGTTCAGTAATATTTTATCGTAATGCACTCAAGATTTTTTTTTTAGGAGTCCAGGGCTGAATGAGTGTACATTAACATCCATGTTCTTATATATCTTTATATCACTTAACGTCTTAGTCCCTGGCTTCAGGTCCGTCTGGGTGCACAGGGAAAGCTCTCAACTGCCCAGATAGCTGTGTCATCTATTTCTCTGTCAGGAATAAGTAGGAGAGCGGGTGCGGTGTGTTGCCAAATCCTCAGCCCTTCTAGCCCTCATCCTAGTAACAACGAAGGCTGAAGCTTCCAGCCAGAGCTGTTACAGCTGCTCTGCCCTGTACAGGCTCACTCGCCCTGGACTAGGAGGACCACAGTGGCTTATGGCTTAGGGCGTGCTTTCCCTGTTCCACCTCCTCTCAGTCTAGGATGGTTCTCTTAAAACTGATACGTGTCTGTGCAAAATTCACTGAACAGGCCCCTTATCTGTTTGCACAACTGCAGGATTTATAGTCAGCATACTAATAAGTAAATATTCCCTCTCTGGTTAATAAATGGAACAGCAGGGTTTCAGGGCAGGTGGGCATAGTCCTCTGATTGTAAAGATTTGCAGAGAAATTAAAAGTGGGCAGAATCCTGTCTGTAATGTCCTGAGTTCCTCTTCTTCCCAAAGCTACCCACAAATCTTCCAAGTTTTCTCATTTGAACAAATAAACATGCCACTGATCTTTTCTAATGCAACCTGCCTACATTTGGCTTTGAGAGCCTAATTAATTAATAGTCTGCTTACCTCTTTGGGACCATATGACTTCATGATTTGCAAATAAAAATTCTAAAAACTCCGTAAAATACACCTCGCAATTCTCCCTGCAGGTGTAAACTGCTTCTTTTTTTGCCATGCCACTTCACAGAGTCAGGGCCCTTTTGCTTAGGCCAAATGCCATTTGAATGTGACTGAACAATATCAGGACCCAAGCACTGGAAAGAAGCATCAAGGACTCTTTGGAGAACTTTTTTTGCATTTATTTCTATTTTATAGCTGCTCCATATGGAGTTTATACTTGACAACTTTTTTAGTTGCTTTTGGCTTGAGCAACTGATAGTGCATGTTCATATTGTCCTACTTTTTTCATACCTGTAGTACTTGATGCAGCAGTATAGCCTAATGACATGTTTACAGAGTAATTCAGCATACATGTGCAGGTTAGTTTCTTTGGTTATCTATTGGTATTATTCAGTTCCCACCTAGTTTATTCAGTGCTGCTTTGGCAAACTGTTACAGGTTTTAGCAGCTGACAGTTCACAATGACTGTATCATACAATGCGCAAAGTCAATATATGATAAAGGAGCAGATATAAACCAAACAAGAAACGTAACCCTGGGGACTAAATGGGCCTGAAATTCTTGTGGATAAGCACAGCAGGTGAGCAGAGTATGAGAAATAGGATAAGAATTTCTTAAAGCCTGACTGCCACAAATATGTCAATGGAGCTGAGTCAGCATGGGAAGACTGCAGTAATTTGCTGTTGATTCAAAAGCCAGTAGCTCACTGCTACCCTTCTTGGTGACGTGGAGAGCGTTCACCAGGAATGCTGGTGACTAACTTTTGAGACCTTTGCAGAGCTGTTGCTTTTGCTGCTCTTCAACCCATCTCTTGTGCTGCTGTGTTCCAGGGACATTCCACTGGAAACAATAGCATGGCACAGAGCTGCTGGAATAGCTACCAGCCAGCATCAGACCAGCAGCCAAAAAGCATAAATGATACCAATCATCATTTTAGATTGCATTTGAAAAATTTGCTTGTCTTTCTGAATTCCACAATGTTGCTTTCGCTTCGCCTGTGTCAGGTACAGCAGACACATATTATGTGCACAAATGGATATTTAGCAGTATAATTTATATTCCTTTTGTTTAGGATTTCTTATATAAAGTATCCTTTTGCTGTACTATTCCTCCAGCATTTTGCCTGCTCAAAACCAGGCCTTTTTCCACCTTTCTTCCTCCCATCTAGTTTTTTTTTCTGTATAGAAATGCATTTAGTTATGTTGTTGATGATTCCTCTCCTGTTATCTCTCTTCCTGACCTTTAGCCTTTCTCTGTTTTTATTGCCAGCTCATGGATGCTACGACTGTAGGATTGTGCTAAATGACCCCTCTGGAGTTTTCACTTCTCCGTGCTTCCCCAGTGATTATCCCAACAGCCAAGCATGCAAGTGGATCATCCGAGCCCCTCGTGGATACATCATACAACTAACTTTCATTGATTTTGACATTGAAGAAGCTCCGGGCTGCATTTATGATTCCCTGACATTAGACAACGGAGAAAGCCCAATGAACCTTTGTGGCATCACTGCCAAAGGATTATCCTATAACTCTACCGGAAATGAAATGATTGTGTCATTTAAAAGCGACTTCAGTATCCAAAAGAAAGGTTTTAATGCCAGCTATGTACGAAGTAAGTAAACCCAAAGCATTTCATCCCTCTAATAGATGTTGGAAGGAAATGTGCTATAAGGATTAGAACAATGCTTCCCAAATGAATCAAGTCCTCCATGAGAAGGGGGAGGATGGGGAGTCTGCAGAGTAAAACCAGGGAGTTCTCTTTTGTGGTTTTTTAGCTATTTTTCTTTTTGCTTTGGATGAAAACCAAATTATTTTATTCTGGGACATGACATCAAGCGTGTTAGAAAAACTTTTCACATGCAAAGATTTTAAGCCTAACAGTGCCTCTCCATGCAGATTTATGCTGGAGGGTTTTGCAGCAGGACACCTGTATTCAAGTCAGTGTACGTGGAGACGGACATGGAAAGATAAAGGAGAGCATGAGACGGAATGTAGTTGAGCCGGGAACAAGACCTCTGTCCCAGTGAAATGCCCAGCAGTAGGGAGGAGTTTGTGTAGAAGGCAGAACTACTCAGAGGTTATTCCAGCCTCTAGAACAATCTCCCAGGGATGAACTGGCATTGCAAAATGGCTACCTTTGGTTCCAGTTCCTTGACCTTTCTTTTCCTTCCTTAAATGCATAGCAATGCTTAGATTTTAAAAAGCTAAAAAATTAACAAAACTGTGACTGATGTTCGTTTTGTTGTTTAAAGCGTTATTTAGAAGTTGCTTCACGTCATGGTAAAGGGCAGAGAGGTAAGGGAAGGCATTAGGATGATTGCTTGTATTCTCCATATGCTACTCACCATTCATTCCACTTCAGGGATATAACTTACTGTTGCATGCTGTCACTAGGCTTTCTTTTTCTTGAAGTCACACACCTTAGCCCAGATACTAGTATTGCATTGAGCATTTATGTTATTCTAGCATGCTTATGTTCTTTTGGTTGGCTGGCTGCTGTAGAAACACAGAGCAGGAAGGCCTGCTGTTCTCTCTTCAGTCACAGGTACATCTTCCTCATGAAATTTTTTTATATTTATGACATATATAGATATTTTTAAATATTAAGATAGTAACCCCAGGAATCATAAGACAAAAGTGGTCTTGATTATGTCAGGAAAATTTGTGTGCAGTTCTAAAAGGAAAAAGGTAATGTCATATCAGAGGAGCTAAGAATACTTCTTTCTCTTCCATGCTGACAAAATGAATATAGTAACAGTACTAGGAGCACCTTTTCTCTTCTGAAAGTGGAAGTAAATTTTCTGAAAGGTTTCTCTAATCAAAAGTAACAGCTCTTTCTGTATAGTAAGAAGATGTAAAATCAAGTGGATCATAAAAAACGGCATGAAATCAGATTATGCAAAATGATTTATTTATTCCTCTTTAATATTTTAATGTTTAAGTATGACTATAAGTGATAAGATGACTTAGAAGTGGAATTGAAAGACGCAGTGTTGCTCTCAGATGTGTTCAGTGTGGAGGAGTGGGAAGGTCCACATAGTGGGACAACCATTTAGGTATATATACCTATAGGTAATGTATTTTTATAAAAGCAAAAATATTACATCCATGCAAAGTTGAATAGTACCTTATGTTCATAGATAACACCATTAAAGTTAAATAGTCTTGGAAGGTATTCTTTCATTTTGAATGAATACTCCCCAGTGTGAGTAAAGGTATCAGCAACCTTCACCAGTGACATGTATTTTAATGTTTCACATACATATATTTCTTCAGAGGGCTTACTGTTAAGTATCTAAACTAAGGCTTCTGAATTTTGTTTCATTGCTCCAAATCTGCAACTCTTACCTCACATCTCGATTTTGACTCTGGATGCCGGGAGAGGTAGCTGCAAGCATCTAGGGTCAATTCTGACTATATTCTGCTTATTGCCCAGAGTTGTGCAATTACATTGGGTTCAGAAGACAGTTACAGACACAGATCATGGCAACGTTTAACCTGGCAACAGATACAGAAAAGAGTCTTGGTAAAGGGATGATAATGTACTGCTTTTCTTTCAAGTTATAAAAGCATGTAGACAATAGGACATCAACACACACACACACACACTGAAATTACAATGCATCTGCATGGCAGATGTCAGCCCTCTGCTGTTCTTGCAAAGAGTTCTCAAAGCTATTGGAGAGATTGCACACCCCCTCAGTTCAAAGCTCCTTTGTCAAGCTGTCACCATTGTTACTGCTATGAACATGACACCTGGGCAAAACCATTAATTTCTCCCAAAGCGAGGGGAACAGTGTTCATATTTTCTTTAATTTCTCAGAAATGATCATATGTAAATAATAAAATTAAGTATTTTGTTAATTTTTGAGTTTCACGAAGTAATGCAAACTTGGAAAGTAAAGGGCCATTCAAAGACACACAGCAATTTGCTATCTAGAAATGGCATTTTAAAATACATTAGTGGTACATCCTAGTATACAGTAAGTACACGTGGGGAAAGACAAATATAAGATAGTAAGTGAGTTTGGGAGGGAATTAGCTGAGAATAGAACAGCTTTTGTGTGACTGCTCAGTTTTATGTAAGAGCTGTTTCAAACAGAGTTTCACAGAGCACGTCCTGTTATCCATAACAAGTTGGCCGTTCCCACAAACGTTGTCTTTCTTGGTGGTCACCTCTTGCAACACAGCAACGTATCTTCAGATGCAGTAAATAAATGCAGCTTTGCTAGTCTCAGGGGAATTATGTCACTTTACACCAGTTGAAGAGCTGGCATGATAAATAATTTTTTAGTAATAGTTAACTGTGTAAGTAGTAGCTCCACTGGTGAGTGGAAGTCACTCAGTCACCAAAAGGAGAGATAGTAGAGCCAGCAGACCTCTGGTAGTACAGAAATGCTGTCATGTAAAATTAGCACACAGTTGAGTAGTACTGCAGTAGCCCAAATTAAAAGCACAATTCAGTGCAGTTGTAACAAAAAAACTCTCAAACAGGTATTTGGTATGTAGGCACTTGCAGACCTCTTTAAATTTGAGGTATTTCTTCCAGCATCAGTGAAAGGGCAAATGAAAGCAGTGGAGCTAGGAACAACAGATGCCACCACTCACGCACCATGCTGAAAAACCCATCCACTGGCAGGAAAGCAATTTTCCCTCCCAGGGATTGTAAAATACAATCTAGGGACTCCTGGCTTGCTTATGTGTAAAGGGGCATATGACATGTGAGACAGTGAGCTGCAAGTAAGCTAGGGGCTCTAAAAAGCAGTAGAGGCAGGCTTTGTGTCATTCCACCTCTCCCATAAAAGCAGATGTGGATCTCAGAACAAACAGCCTGTTGCTGATTGCTCCTGCTATGTCCAGCTTGCCAAGACTTTCGTACATTCTTCAGGAGGAAATAGCAATGTGTCCAAAAAAATCCCTGTTCCTTGTAATCCAGTTATCTTCTTAACAGCAACAATTTCACATCATTCTGAAAGTAAACTAAACACTTGGATGAATATTCCAAGAAGGTATGTATATTCTTCCTCTGAGAATAGCCAGTTTCTCCCGTACTAACATCTGACATTCATCAGTATGATGACTGGCTGTACAACAGTAATCAAACAGCAGATCTGCACTTAATGTTGATAGCAGGATTTTGTTTTCTCCACATGGACAAAATACTTGTCAGCTTTGTCCTTTCACTATACAGGGAAGGTGCCAGTGGTTAAATCTGTCAGATGAGCACAGCAAAGTTGAGTAGGCTTGTTCAGTACCAGATCAAAGTTCTCCCTGTTTATTTCTCTTCCTATACTGTTTGAAAGTGACCAGGTGGCCCATAACTCTCCTGACCACCCTGACACAGACTGGACAGTGCTCGTATGAATGAGGTTTCTTCTTGAAATTTCAAGTCTTGAATCCTTATACTTCTTCTGGAACACTTTCCATGTTACGTAAAGAAGCTAACAGTATAATTAACCCATGAAAAAAAAGCTCCTGTTTTCAGTGGAGAGTTGAACACATTTTCTATCTATAAAATTGTTACAACATACTTGCCCTTGGGAAGAAACAAAAAATCTATGGAGTAAATCCAGTAACTATAAAAGTCCAGTATTTTTCTGTCTTGCCTCCCATGCTCCAGTTGCTGGGCTGGCGGATAATGTGCCATGTTTTATGTTATTTTACTATCTAATATATTGGTCAAATTATGTCCTTGTGTATATCCAAATATGGTAATCTGGAGTTCAGAGTCTTTGCAAGCAGCTGGCAAAGAAAACTGGAATACCACAGACTACACAGAATGCTTATACGCCATATATCTGTTTCTTTTCCTGAGTGTAGCATGACAGTCACCCTTGCCTCAAATGTCTCACCCTCTCATACTGAAAGGTTTTTACTTCATTCTGGGAAGGGAGCATGTGTAGTAATTAATTTATGTGTTGTGGCATCACCTAAAAATCCCAGGGGAGATTAGGGATTAACTACTGTGGCAGTTATTCTTCAAGTCTACCAAAAACCAGTGTTATAGCCAGCAGAAGCTGCTGTGAAATCTGTGAAAATGTGTGAAAGAGGTAGCAGACACTTGCTGGAAGTGCAGTCTGCCACAGAACTGCAGAAGTAAAAATGAGGGCTGCCTCAATCTGGTCTTTTTGATCTTTGCATGACTGATAACCTGAAACTTCTTTCTGTGGAGAAATCTGGTAGAAGAATTTTGCTGCCATAAATGTGCCAATAAAACAGCATATGGACATTTTATTTTGAAAAAATAATATTCTCCAAAGTAGAGTGAACAGAATTGTCATTAATATAGTCATGGAGAAAAAGGGTATGTCATGTGATACTGTTTTTCACATTTGGTGACTGCCATTTTACCAGTGCAAATGAGAATACTTAATAAGAATTACAGACATGGTAATTCTGCTTATGACTAAATACCATTAGTGCAGTGCATGTTTGCAAGAGGACTAGCTGTTTCTAGATACTTGTGCAAAATCCAAAACTACTGACCCAAATATTAGCAAATAGTGAACAGCTTGGATATAAATATTCATGAACACACGATTGCAGTATTCAACCAGAAGACTGCTGGGAACAAGATGAGAAGATGCCTAATACTGTGCAGAAACCCATTAGCTGAATTCAGGAATAAAAGGCTTCAATTTGCCAGGGAATGTAATGGGGGATTTCTTCTATTGCAATGTTTGAAAGAAGCAATGCCTGAACTTCATTGGTGTAATGCAGTCACGGAGAGAAGTAATTAAAATAATATATCTTATAAGCAAGTCATACTGTGTTTTTCAAATAACTGGTTTATTCCATTGCCTAATGCATCCTTACTAGATGAATGAGTAGTAATTTTTATAAAGTGAGCTGAGGCAGTGTTGGAAGTTAGTAGGTAATATATCCTAATATTGCTCTTAATGCAACTTGAGGGGTAGTTAACGGTGTGTACTGTGGCAGTCTCCGTGCCGTTGAAGAGGAACTCTGCATATTTTCAGCTGAGTGCGCTCCCAAGCCAGATTTCCCTTTGTGTGTGTTATTGGTGTATTACAGTGATAAAAATCACCTGATGGATGTTTGATTTAATGCATGTTACTTTAACCCCTGCTGCCAGTCTGACTTTATTTCTGTATGATGAATTTATTTTTTTGTTAATGTATTTATCTTCTCTTGTCTCTAGTTGCTGTGTCTTTGAGGAATCAGAAAGTCATCATTCCCCAGGTTCCCGACACCGATGCTGTGTCTGTGGCAGAGACTGTCTCAGTGCCAGAGCTTAGCCAGTTTACACTGTGCTTTGAAGCAACCAAGGGCAGCAGCGATGACAACGATGACTGGAAGGTTTTCTCCTACACGGATGTGTTGTCAACAGAATTCTTCAGCTTTGGGAAGACCACAAGAGGCCATTTTCTGGCCATCTCAGGCACACAGTGCATCCTTGAGAATGCATTGCCCCGAAATGCGGAGTTTTTCACAGGAACCTTTCAGCAGCTCTGTGTCGTAGGGGATAGCTTCTCGGGCAGTGTAGGTATATACGTGAAAAGCACCTATCATATAGTGTACTGCCCGGGTATCTTGGGCAAAGTTATCCCTGGAAATGGGAGGCTGGTGCTGGGCTCTAACAGCAATGAAGTGAGCTCTCTAAATGGGGACATTTACAACTTCCGCCTCTGGAATTTCACCATGAATGCGCAAACACTGGCCAACCTCAGCTGCGATGTGAAAGGAAACATTGTAGACTGGGAAAATGAATTCTGGAGTATTCCAACTTCAGCACTGAAAGCAGAAAACAATTTGAGTTGTGGTGAGTATGCCTTGCCAAATCTTTTTTGCTTATTTTCCCCCCACACTTCTGCATTGTGCTGAACATATCATATACCAGCACGGAAAAAAAAGAAGAGAGTTCCTGTAAAAGAAGGAAGAGCTCTTAACATGCACAGAGGCTTTGAAAGGGTATAGAGTTGATTCCCTACAGGGAAAAAAGCAAGTCCCCTAAGTATATTGAGTTGCTGCTTGAAATGATCTGCAGATCAGTGTTTTTCTCAAACAGTTTGTTTATTGGGTTTCTACTAACAAAAATGGGGATAACAGGCAGGTACCTGCTAGCTTTAAGTGAGATTACAGTGGTCTGTGGAGGAAAAAATGTATGTTAACTAACCATTTAGTAAATGTTTTAGTAAATGCCCATTGGCCCTTTGGTTACTTAGGAGGAGCACTTGCTAGCCTTGTGCTGTGTGTGCAGAGTCAGCAAAAGCAGTGACATAACAACAAGGCATATGAGACAGAAAAGTAGGAGAAAAGATCGCATTAGAGGAGGCAGACAGGAAGGAAGAGTTTTAGATCCAAATCATCGGGTTTTTATCTTCTTGACTACATATTATCAGCCCTTTTTTTAATTGGTAATTTCTGAAGGTCTTTCTTCCTGTAGATTACTCCAGAAGATAAATTTCAATACTCTAACTTATTTCATGGCTCAGACACTTGATTCTCATAAGTGTGGAGGTGTAACTTTTATATATGTATGTGGTTGGCAATTTTCTATTGGAGCATTCTTTTCCAGAGGAAAAAAAAAAAGTCAAAATTGAAAAATCTTTAATACTTTGGACCAGTTTGTGGGGTTTTTTGTTTGTTTTTAAAGAATATTTCGGTTAGTAACAACTTTAGAGATATTTGGATAATTATGAAATACATAGGGGAAAATCTGAATCATGGCCAGCAGTAGCCTATACACACAAATATGATGCTTGTGAAAATCAACTGTTATCAAATTTTACATCCATGGAGCTTGAACACTCCTATTGTAGAAATACACATTTGTGAAAAAAAAGAGAAAGTAAAAGTAAACAATTACAAATACTGTTTTTTTTCTGAACCAAGTGGAGTCTCTTCATACGTAATGTTGTCCTCTCCAGTGCTGCCTTCTTACTCCTCTGACACCTTACTACTTATTAGTTGAAACACAGTTTAAATAGCCAATATAATCATCTCCTGACAGAGCATCTGTCAGCGTTCTGAGAATCCTTAGCTTAAAACAGAAGCTGGCATCATTAAGGTGTGCTAGTTTGTGTATCTAACAGCTCATGAGGGATTAAGGTGGCTAAAAAAATCTATCTTGGTTGCTTCGGTTTATACAAACCAAAACGTGATGTACTCATTCACAGCTAGATTCACTGGGACAGCTCTCAGCATGCCTCTACTAAAAAAATTTAAGCAACACCACTATAAAAACATGAGCAACTATGTGCCTTCACCCCTCTACCAGAACAAGGAAAAGGCTGATCTAAACATTGACTGTGTCTGATGAAGGTGAAAAAAGGTGTTGCTTTTCCATCAGTATGAACTGACCTAACAGAAAATAACTTCCCAGAAAATCTTACTCTTCTTACACCATGAAGACTACCGAAACACTTCTACTAAACAACCTACCAGGACCTCTGTTGCAGTCTCATTTAATTTTGACTGGAGTACGGTTCTTGCCTTTCTTTCCGTTAAAGACCGTACAGCCCTGTGACACAAATGTAATATTGCAGCTGTGGTCATAGAAATGATACACTTATTTTCATTCCACAACTTTATTGCTTGGGATGTCATAGTTCAGCGGTTTCCTTACGGCAGAACATTATTTTAGAAAACGTATTTAGCATTCGTATGTTAGGCCAAGGTGCCTATGCAAGCCACTTCAAATGTATCTGTATACAAGCATTGTTTTTTCCTCTAACCAAACATAGAAAACTAAATTGCTACTCTTTTTCTTTAGAAGATGTTAAATCACCCCCTATGATACAGGCTTTTCTGAACCAGAGTATTTATTAAAAGAAATTACTGGGTGCAGTGCCATTTCAAAAACAGTTACTAATCGCAGAGATGGAATTGTTAGAATTTTCTTCCCTTCATCTTCTTGAATAAAAGCCCTCATTGTAAAACTCAGCCTTCAACAGGAGAGTTGATGAGTCAGGCTATCAACCATGAATAAACCACTGACAGCAGGGAGATGACTCCGACTGATTAGGCTTCATTTAGCAGCAATGGAAGGATTTGTGCAGAAAAGATGTTTTCGCACAGCTCCAATAATACTTCCCCGGGAAGCAGCATGTAACTTCAAAAAAAACCAAACCAATCCTTTAGAAGTGATTTCAGCATATCTGTGCCTGAACGGTGCTTACATTTTTCGAGGGGTATTATTTTTCAGACAAACACTTACAAGTAGATTTACGGAGCATAAAAACACTGGCAAATTGTTCCCGATAAAGCACGAGAAGGTAAAACTATGAAAAGATTATTCCTTAGACTAATGTTTTCACAGCTGTGCAGTCATGGTGGGGTGTTTCTGGAAGACTTGACGGAATTCTGTTTTTATTGCCATACCTTCACACGGCTTGCATTTAAAGGTATATGTACACAGCCTGGGTATCCAGACTAATTTTAAAACAAGTAGCCTAGGTAACGATAGCGGTGTAATAACACCAGCTCAGAGCTCGGTGCAGGCAAACTGAGAAGCATTTAATCAACTTCTGGTACTGATTTTGGAGCCTGCACTGGCTACACCTATAGCAGGATATGATCTACCCAGTTTAAGGGTAATGTGGCTGCATGTCTGTCCATGTCTGTAATTACATTTGCTTCAAGTGCACTTCCTATTAGTCTTTCATTCCCAAAGGCCAGAGGAATTCTTGATTTCACTGTCAGGTTAACTCAGGGTGAGGTATGTCCACCTTAGGCTGCAGAGTGATGTTTCAGGCTGAGCCCTCAGTGCTGTGTATGAATAGTGGAAAGAAAAAGGCTGTTCCAAAGGTCGGTGCATCTCATACTGAAGAAGATGTCTCAGTGAGGTCAGAATTTTTTTGCTGTAGGAGTGCCTGTTCCTCTCCACTGACTATAAAGAAAGTCTAGTGTGACGAGCAGATACAGATGTCTGAGTTTTAGACATTTGAAGTGGGTGATATATATCACACAAAGTGTCCGTAATCCAGGTCCATATCTGCTGTTCACATTACTGACCATGCCGCTTGACTTCCTAAAGTAGCTTTTGCCAAATATCTGTCTGTATCCAAAACATTGTATTTTCTTTAGTGGACACTGAGGGAGTGTCTGGTCTGGCCAGAATTTAACCCAGTTAAACCTTAAAAAGCTTATTGAAAATATTCACTGAAAATATTCCTCTTTAAAGTACACAGTCTTCTGACTTAATTTTTTTTGCAAAGTTGGATTGGACTTTTTAGTTTCACCAAATAAAATCATGATCTTTTTTTAAATACTCATTGAATAAAGGGTGAAGGTCCACAGGTTTTTCCAAGCCAATGTTGAGGTGATCATTCCATGATACAGAACCAAGAGGAGATAACTTAATAGAAGGTTTTGATATTGACTGTTTAATATTAGCAAATATATTGGGGGTGGTGGTGGTGGTGTGGTGTAAGATATCTCATGCAGGAGGTCGTATATTCATAGAATCATAGAATCA